ATCTATGAATTTGACTACTCTACGTACCTCATATAAGTGGAATCATACAGTATTTGTCTTTTTGTGACTGGTTTACTTCACTTAACAAAATGTCCTCAAGGTTCATCCATGTTGTAGCATGTGTCAGAACTTTCTTCTTTTTTAAGACTGAATAATATTCCATTGTATGCATATACCACATTTTGTTTATCCATTCATTCGTGGACAGGCACGTGGGTTGCTTCCTCCTTTTGGCTATTGTGAACAACATTGCTATGAATGGGTGTGCAAATACCCCTTCAAGACACCCTGCTTTCAGTTCTTTTAGGCATATATCCAGGAGTGGAGTTGCTAGATCATAGGGTAATTCTATTTTTAATTTTCAAATTATTGCCATACCGTTTTCCATAGCAGCTACACCATTTTACATTCTCACCAACATTGCATAAGGGTTCCAGTTCCTCCACATCCTCGCCAACCCTTGTCATTTTCTGTTTTTGCTTTTGTTTTTTTTGATAGTAGCCATGCTAATGGATGTAGGTTCCTAGGATTATTTTGAGATTTGAACAGTCATGGGCTTTTTATCCCAGGCTTGTGATTTTTTTTGGCAGACAGTTAACTCAAAAACTTAGGCTTCAGGACTTCCCTGGTGGTCCAGTGGTGAAGAATCTGCCTTACAATGCGGGGGACGCGGGTTCGATTCCTGGCCAGGGAACTAAGATCCCACATGCCATGGGGCAGCTAAGCCCATGTGCCACAACTACAGAGCCCACGGACCCTGGAGTCTGCACGCCACAACTAGAGAGAAGCCCGCACACCGCATCGAAAGATTCCCGCATGCCTCAATGAAGATGCTGCATGCCATAACTAAAAACCTGACACAGCCAAAATTAAATAAAAATAGATAAATAAATAATAAATAAATCTTAAAAAAAAAACACTTAGGCTTCTTATCCATTTGACTACAGCCAGTTTCATGTACAAAACCATACCCACAATATGTTTCAACACATAGTCCTTAGGTTTGCTTTGTTTCTCTGCTTTCTTACCCCAAAGAGCTCTTTTTTTTTGGAGGGGGGCTTGTGTGGGGTTTTTAAAAAATACTTATTTATTTATTTGTTTATTTTGGCTGCGCTGGGTCTTAGTTGCAGCACGTGCAATCTTTTAGTTGCAGCATGCAGGATCTTTAGTTGTGGAATGCGGACTCTTAGTTGTGGCGTGCATGTGGGATTTAGTTTCCCGACCAGGGATTGAACACAGGCCCTCTGCATTGGGAGCGCGGAGCCTTACCCACTGGGCCACCAGGGAAGTCTGTATGTGTTTGGTTTTTTTTAATTTAATTTTTCGTTTTTATTGGAGTAGCAGTGTTTGTGGTACGCGGGCCTCTCACAGTTGTGGCCTCTCCCGTTGCGGAGCACAGGCTCCGGACGCGCAGACTCAGAGGCCGTGGCTCACGGGCCCAGCCGCTCCGCGGCATGTGGGATCTTCCCGGACCGGGGCACGAACCCATGTCCCCTGCATCGGCAGGCGGACTCTCAACCACTGCGCCACCAGGGAAGTCCCTTGTGGCCATCTTTAACCCACCAGTCTTTCCCTTTTACCTGGAGTAAGATGAGATGCCATGGAGGGTTTTGAGCAGAGGAATGAGAGAATCTGACTCACAGTTTAAAGGATCATCGTGGTTGCCATGTAGAGAAGAGACCACTAGGGGCAGGGCAAAAGCACTGGGGGGATGGGGATGGATGTGGGGGTCTGAGATGGCAGTAGTCATGCCCAAAGTAGGGCCCTGGCAACAAGATTTGTACCACTGACACTTGGTTGACCAATATGGTGACCCCTAGTCACATGTGGCTATTTAAAATTAAATTTAGAGTAATTAAAATTATATAAAATTTAGAATTCGGTTCCTTAGTTGCAATAGCCACATTTCTTTCTTTTTCTTTTCTTTTTTTTTTTTGGCCACACTGTGTGGCATGAGGGATCCTAGTTCCCCGACCAGGGATTGAACCCGTGCCCCCTACATTGGGAGCGCAGAGTCTTAACCACTGGACCCCCAAGGAAGTCCCTCTAGCCACATTTCAAATGCTTAATAGCCAAATGTGGTGAGTGGCGCCAGTATAGGCAACACAGATATAGAACACTTCCATCTTTGCAGAAACTTCTATTGGATGGTACTGGCTTAGACCTTCTCATCTCTTACGAGTTTGCACATCTAAAATCTTTAACTACAGGATCCCACATTCTGACCTCAGACTCCCTTCCTTCCCATCCACTTATTTTTAGACTGCATTGAGCTCTTCAGTCTGGATTCCCTGAGTCTTCTCCAGATCCATCTGCTCCCCTCCTGGGCTGCCTTGGCATCCTTCCCCAACAAGCCAGGATCCATCGTGAGGTCCATCATGGGAACTGCTCTCTCCCTTGCTCTCTGCATCACCCATCACCTTCTCCTCTGCCTCGCCAGGAGCTGGGGTACCAGAAGCCTTCTTCTTCTCTCCCAGGTCTCCTGACACTGCCAAAAAAAGTCACAGCTGCAGACCCCTGTCTCCACAGATCATGGCCTCAGAGCCATCAGAGCAAATTCAGCTTCTGTCACATTGCGGCAGGCCTTGGGCAAGTGACTTACCTTCCCAAACCCAGGGTTTGTCATCTGTAAAATGGGGATTATCAGAGCTCCTATCTCATAAGATTATTGAGAAGTCAAATTATCCTGGCACATAAGAAATTCTCAGTAAGTGATATCCATCGCCATCCTCACCATCATTATTACTGAGTGTTCCAAATCTTTACCACTCTTTAAAAAATTATGGTAAAATAGACGTAACATGAAATTTATCGCTAGCAGCATTTGGTACATTCATAACGTTGGGCAACCATCACCACCATCTAGTGATGGAATGCCTCCATCACCCCAGAAGGAAGCCCATCAAGCAGTCACTCCCCATTCCTCCCTTAACGCAGCCCCAGGAACCGCTAGTCTGCTTTCTGTCTTTATGGATTTTCTGAGCCTGGATATTTCATATATATGGAATCATAGAATATGTGGCCTTTGTGTCTGCTTCACCACCCTTTGAAAGGGTGTTGAACTAAAACCTTTCTATTTTGGCGGTCACATGCTCTACCCTGGAGCTATACCCCCCCCAAACCTTCCTCTTTCTTAACTGATAATGCCTCTTGTTTTCCTCAAGAACATTCAGTTTAACACGTTTGGTGTCACTCAACTTCCTACCCTCCTCACCCATAAACAATAAAGATAGTAGTAACAATGACAATAGTGTATTGAGTTCTTATTCCGTTCCGGGTGCTTTGCTAAGTGTTTTATATACACACCTCATTTCACTCTTATAACCCCTTTGAGACACAATTGCTGATATTATCTCTATTTTACAGTTAGGGAAACTGAGGCTCAGAGCATTGAGACCATGTAAGCAGAGAGTGGCCGAACCAGGGATTCGAATCTGGATCTAACTCCAGAGTTCAACGCACAAACACCAACCTGCATCTCTTCTCAGTGGCCCTCCTCCTCTCCTTCCCCAGGTCTCAGAGGGTACTGGATCTTTCCTATGCTGCTGGCTCAATGCCAGACCATCCACCTATACATTCGACCTCATCCCTTCCCATCACCTCCCCAACCTCAGCCATCCCCTCTCTCATATCATCGGAGCTGAAGCTGATTCTAACAGATGTGGAGTAGAATCACCTGGTTGCTTCTTTGTTCCCTTGTCTGGTGCTTGAACTGGGATAACTCAAAGGCCAAGCTCAGTTGGGATGGTGGTGACTTCTGTGGGTTCTCCATGTTATTTTGGCTTTCTCTTAGCATGGCAGCCTCAAGGCAGGCAGACTTCTTGCATTAGCACCTCAGGTCTCCAAGAGCTAGAGTTCCAGGAGGAGTGCCTGTCCTTTCATGTCCTGGCCTCGGAAGTCAGAGCATCACTTCCACCATACTCTATTGGTTGAAGCAGTCATCAGCTCACCCGAGATACAAAAAGAGGGTACCTAGATCCCACCTTGCTGCAGGAGAAGTGCTAAGGAATTTGCAGCCATGTTTTAAAACTGCTGCAGGTTGTTTCCAATCTTCTGCTATTCCTGCACTTCATTTTACCCCCCTCCCCCGCAACAACTCTTGAATCCATTCATTTCTGTGCAAGCCCACTAGGCCAAGACATCGTCATCTCTGACATGGGGCCTCCTTACGGATTTCTTACCTACCTCCGTTGGGCTTTTTATCCTGTTCTTCCCAGGGATCGACAGCCAGAGGGATCTTTTCAGAGTGCAGATCAGATCACACCCCTCCCCTCTTTACAACGCTTCCATGGCTCCCTACTACTCTTGGGTTGAAGTCCAGACTCCTTACCTTGGCTTGTGAGGCCCTGAAGGGTCTCACGTCTGCCTGCCTCTCCAGGTTCATCTCCTGTCACATGGGAGGGCTTCAGTCTTGAGCTCTAGGAATTCCTCTCTCTCTCTCTCTCTCACACACACACACACACACACACGGTTAAATGGCTGTAGTACATATGTAGCACTTAGAGAAGTACTTTGCTCACACTCAGAATCATATATTCGCTGTTTTTATTAGTCTGTGTTCAGTAGATGTTTATTGAGCTGCCTGCTCAATGCCGTCTGTGTTCAGTAGATGTTTATTGAGCTGCCTGCTCAATGCCAAGTGCCCTGTGAGGCTCGGGGATACAACAGTGAAGGAACAGGATGTGTCTCCACCTTGCAGAGTTTATGCATCCCTGTGTCCCCGGCCCACAGCCCAAGGAGAGACGGAACGGACACTCAGGGCACGAAAGCACGTGTGCACAATGGTGCCTGAAGAAGCTTGGAGAGGTGTGGTGACTTTGCCAAGCCCATAGAGTGAATGTGGGACAAAGCCAAGGCTGTGGGTGGGCACACGACAAAGGAATGAAGTAGACTCAGCTGCCTGGCAAGGGCTGGCTCTCCAGGGAGATGGGCCAGAGGACACACTGTCCAGGACGGAGCTAGGGGTAGGTTGGGAGAGAGAACAAGGGAGGATCCTTCCAGAAGGGAAAGGACTTGTCTCTCCCAGCAGCTTCTCTCCAACCCCAGCTCCCTTCTCAAGATAAGGGGCGCTGATCCTCAGCAAGGGGTAGGGGCTCGAAGAGGGAGAGAATGGAGAGAGGATGGGGGACTCAGTGAGAGTGTGAGGACTGCAGTCAGATAAGGGGCTCCTGATGGAGGCAGGAGGGGACTTCCTGGTAGGGACCCGGCGGGAGAGAGGTGGGGCTCAACGAGAGAGCCAGGAGTCTATGAAGAGGATGGGGGCGCAGCCAGTAGATGAGCGTTTGTGCACTGGGGTGAGGGCTCCATGAGGGGGATTGAGGCCCAGAGAGGAACAGAGGATACAGTGCAGAAATGAAGGCTCAATGAAGTCAAGCGTCTTCAGTCAAATGGTTGGGAGATTGAGGGAGTGATGGGACAGTCAGACGAGGAGTTTGAGGGACTGCATGAGGGGGTGGGGTCGAGGGATATGATGGGGTCCCCGCGAGGGGCCTGGGGTCTCAGAGAGAGAAGGGAACTCTTGGAAGGGGACCAGGGCTTGCAATCCTGCAGGGGTCCGAAATCTGCAGAGCCAGCCCTCAGGGCGCGCCGGCGCCCCCCCACCCGTGTCACCCCCGCCCCCCAACTGCGGCGCAGGCGCCAACACAACCTGCTTCTGCTCTGCTTGCGTTCCCGCTCCCGCTCGGCGGAGACTGCGGACGGAGAGGTGAGCTCAGCCCTGCCCCACGCTCGGCCCGACCCCCACCCCGCCTCCTCCCAGGATCTGGAGAACCCCCAGCCCTGCCGCATCCCCAGCCCGGCCGTGTCCCGCCTCGGGCGGGACGGCGGCGCCCCAGCCCTGGTGTGTCTCGGGCTTTGCGAGGTAGGGTCTCGGGGAAGTAGCAGGGGCAGAGGTCTCGCCAGCCCAACGCCCGGAGACACTTCAGGGTTGGTAGGCTGGGCGGAGGCCTCAGAGGACAAGACCCCACCCACCTCTGCAGAAAACCCATTCCCGCCCCTCTTTGCCTCAGTTTCCCTCTAGGGGAAAGGATGCACTTAATCTCAACTGGGGAACTGGTGGTCGGCTCAGAAACAGTGTGCGGTGGGGGCGGGGGAAGTTGGCCTGATTTCTCTGGCCTCACCCCCCAAGACAGCGTCCCTTCAGGCCTGAGCTACACTGGACGCTGGAGTGCGCGGGTCTGGGGGTCTGGGAAGGAGAACTGAGCGAGGCCCCATAAATACGAGAGATTCCACCCATCTTCGGGCCCTCGTGGCTGTCACCGCTCGCCTCCTCGCCGCAGCCTCCACCCCTCGGACCCAGTAGCTCCGTCCTCTTCCCTCTCCCTTCTCACGGAGCTCCTCCCCCATCCCGCCTAAGGACAGCTCCCCAGCAGTTCCTTGGCAACCCTGGTCCGGGGCTCTCAGCATCCTCTCCCACCCTCCCCCAGACCGCCAGTCCGCCTCCCGGCAACCCTAAAAGGAGGGGGAGGGACCCGGTCGAGGGGGAGGCAGCGTCAAGGTCACCTTCCCGCTCCGATGCCAGCAGGATCGGGTGATGTATATTTGGAGGAGAGGGACAGTGAGCTGCACGAGAGGAGGAGCTAACCCTGGCCTATAATCCCTGAGCTCCCTCCCCGCCCCGTCCCCTAGGATCTTCGGTTAATGTTCTTTGCCCTGATGCCCACCGCCCCGCCGGCCGGGATGAGGAAGCTGAAATCTCCCGGGGCGGTGCCCGCTCTGGCCACGCCTTCTGCAGAGCCCCACCCCTCCCCCTCCCCTATTCCCTCGAGTGCCGGCTCTTCCCCCCACCACTCGCCCTCTTCTTTCTCTGTCTTTGGCTTTTGATCTCTGCCTTTCCCCATTGTATGTCAGTGGGGGTGGGGGGTATTGTCTCTTACCCCTTTTCCCTTTTTCCCCCTGAGATTTGGGTGAGGGCTGTGGAGAGCTGTGATTTATAGACAGGCTTTAACGCAGCACTTCTGTGTGCTGGTGTGGATCCATAGAATCACCTCCAACACACACTGTGGCTCTGTGTGTGTGTGTGTGTGTGTGTGTGTGTGTGTGTGGTGTGTCTGAGTGTCTGTCTCTTTGTGCTGTGTGTCTAGCTCTGTGTGTCTCTATGTGGTATATGTGTGCCTGTCTGTATATGTCTGTGGTGTTGTGTGTGTGTATGTGCGTCTATCTGTGTATGTCTCTGGTGTGCTGTGTGTTTGTGTGCTGGTGAGTCTCTCTACACAGGGATTTGAGGATCACATCTGGAAATGAGAGGAGACTAGAAATTTGTCTTATCCTTCAGTGTAAGCACATTGCTTCATTTTGTTTGAAACTGCTCAGAGGGACTGAGGGCCATCATGGGATGGGGGGGAGCCCAGTCCTTCCCCAGCAACCCCCACCCCCTTTGCTTTTAGTCCTAAGGATGTTTGGATACACAAGGACCTTCCATTCCCTAGGCCTCAGTGTCTCCATTTGTGAAAAGAAAGGTCCTTAGATAGGTTTCTTTAGAAATCTAATGTTGAGCCTAAGAACACCTAAGCCTGAGGACCCCTGACTTTCACCTTCTGTGGAGTCAAGATTCCTTGGAACTTGGAGATTGTTGCCTTCTGAGGGGCAGCCCTGGGGAGGGATCTTTTAGGACCTTGCAGCTTGGGGAGCTCCACCCGATTGGACGAGTGTCAACCGTGTCACTTTCAGCCCAGAATACCTTGAAAGGCAGGGAAATTAAGGGGAAGAGATTTGAAGAGGAGATGGGGATAAGAAGCTCTCACTCTAGACATGGGGCTCTAGAAGTTCAGGATAAGATAATAATGAAGAAATTACAGTAATAATAGTCACAGAAGCTATCATTTCTTGGCACCAGACACAAAACTGTATAAAGCAGGTATGATTATCAGCTGTGTTTTACAGATGAGGAAACTGAGGCTTAGAGAGGTGAAAGCACTTGTCTGACATCACACAGCCGGGAAGTGGTGATCCTGGATTCCAATCCAGACAGTCCGGCTCCAGAACCCACAGTTCCAGCCACTGGGTGGCCTCCACAGGAAACATGCAAATTTATTGCCACCTACAAAGTGCCAGGCTGTGGGCTAAGTACTCAGTGCCTTGGCTCATTCGCGCTCTACTCAGACCAGGATTCCAGAAGGACAGGCTCTGCTGTGAGTGTGAGCTCTCTAAGATGGGTGGAGAGGTGAAAGTAGCACAAAGATTCTGGGGGCCTTGGAGAGTCACCATGGGCAACCCTCACTGCCCCCTCCCTCTGTCCACTGCACCTGGCCTACCCCACAGGGACCCAGGATGCCAAGCTGCGAGCGTCCCTGTGGCTGCAGCCGAGGCCCCAACGTGGAAGATGGCAAGTGGTATGGGGTCCGCTCCTATCTGCACCTCTTCTACGAGGACTGTGCAGGTACCCCCCTCAGCGATGACCCTGAGGGGCCTCCTGTACTGTGCCCTCACCGACGTTGGCCCTCACTGTGCTGGAAGGTAAGGTGGAAGGAGGAGCAATTCCTGTGATTTCCTGTGGTTTCAGGGAGGAGGTGGGATCAGTGGATAGAAAGAAAAGGGGCTGCGTAGCAATTAGGGGTCTTGCATGTTCAAACAAGAGGAAACCCAACTCAAATGAGTTTCAACAATAAAGGGAAAATATTGCTCATTTTATAGAAGAGACCAGAGGTTGGGGGCCTTCAGGCAAAGTTCGCTCCAGCAGTTCAAAGCATCACACTGAGGACTCAAGATTTCCTTCAGGCTCCCCATGGTACCCCCATCCTTGCAGCCCATTAGTTTGAGGCTCTCCCCATGTGTTCTCCAAATGACTGCTCCCAAGCTGACCCTCAGTCTCTCACTCCACACCTTCCAAGGGAAATCAGAATTTCAACTAGTATTTCTTTCAGAAAAGAAGCAATGCTTTTCACTTCCAGAAGGCCTGGCAAGTATTGCATTGGCTCTGACTGGGTCACTTGCCCAGCCCTGAGCTAATTACTGTGGCCAGAGGGATGGTATATGCTGACTGGCAGGAAGAAGGGTTCACCTCACTTAAATCTTCCTGTGGCTTCCCAAAGATATACTGGGGGACTGTTGCCAGGACAGTAGAAGATGTGAGAGAAACGAACAGTCAATGTCCATACCAGCCATGGAGAGTGGTCAGTTAGGGAGCACCATGTGAGTAAAGGCATGGGAGTGGCAGTGAGCTGGGTCCCTACAATGCTCTTTGATAAATACTAAAGGAAGCCTGAGACAGAGGGTCCCTCTCTGCTTTCAAAAGGCTTCGCTCTAGTGGGAAGGCGAGGTGCCAACCTGCACAGAGAATGCACAACCTCAGGCCAGGTGTGCAGAGGATGGCAGGAGAGGAAATGCCCTCAGTGCCTGGGGTGATCAGGGAAGACTTCCAGGAGAAAGTACATATTTTAAGTTTTTGAGCATCTTCTTATTGCCAAGCAGTGTGCTAGGATCTTGGGGACACAGAATTTAAGACGATGTGGTCCCTGTCTTTGAGGAGCTCCTAGCTGTGGTTCATTTAGTCATTCTGCAAACATTCGCTCAGCTACTGCTGGGTACCAGCACCATGCTAGGCATGGAAGACACCTTGGGAGCCAAAACAGGCAGTCTCTAATCTCATGGCTTTCCCAGATCTCAGTCCAGTGTAGCAGGCAGACAGACATCACTTACATAGTAACCAAGGTACACGTCCAGGTGTGCACCAAGGTGAGTGCACTGAAGAGCAAATGGGCACAGCGTTTGCATGAGTGCAGAGCTGGGGACTTGACCCAGTCCAGGGGCATCCTGGAAGGCTTCCCTGAGGAGGTGAGGTTTGAGATGCATGTGATTTGAGGGATGTGTAGAAGTTAACCCGACAGAGGGATAGAGGTAGAGGGTAGATGGGACAGGGGGATAAGATGGGACCCAAATGATGATTCAGGGGGACTGAAGGCTGGCAGAAGAAGTCCACTGCTAGGTGGGAGCTGAAAGGGAAATTAATTCAGAGGCCTCAAGATCTCAAATAGAACGTGATAGTTTGTGCCCTTGTCAATTAGATCCTAACAGGTGTGTCTATGATCTCGTCTTTTAAGGCTGGACCAAGGGGTTACCTTTAAGTCCAATTGGGATCCAAGGTTATCCCTTGGCCTGGGGCCCCAGCTGACCCTGACTGCCTCCCGATCTGTCTGCTTCTCTCCAGATCAGCTTATCCTCAGGTACCCTGCTTCTGCTACTGGGTTTGGCAGCCCTGACCACTGGCTATGCAGTGCCCCCCAAGTTGGAGGGCATCGGAGAGGGCGAGTTCCTGGTGTTGGATCAGCGGGCAGCCGACTACAACAAGGCTCTGGGCACCTGCCGCCTGGCAGGCACGGTGCTCTGCGGGGCAGCCGGGATCTTGCTGGCCATCTGCATGTTCTGGGCCACGACTGGCTGGCTGAGCCAGGACCCCAAGGCAGAACCCTTGGACACTGAAACCGATGGCCACATGGAGGTCTTCGGGGATGAGCTGGAGCAGCAGTTGTCCCCCATTTTCCACGACGCCAGTGGCCGGTCTTGGTTCTCACCACCCGCCAGCCACTTTGGGCAATCCTCTGTGCAGACCATCCAGCCCAAGCGGGACTTTTGAGTTGTCCTCACGGCCAGAGGAGGAGCCAGGCCTGGGGTCTGGAACCTTCCTCCGCCCCACCACATCCCACCTTCTCATTGTCTCCCTAACTTCCCCCTTTCAATGGGGCCCCTTCCATCTTAGCCCCCAGAAAGCCCAACTCCAGGTCAGAAAGTCTGGAGCTCACATCTCTGTGTCCCCTTCCCAGAGGTAGGGCCCTAAGTCCTCCAAGATGCCAGCCTTCCCCGAGTCACCCCAAAACTTCCCACCCATTCCTCCTTTCCAAAGCCATTCAGGGGCAGAAAACTCCCTCAACCTATCCCCACTCTTTCCTCTGTATGACCTTGGGCAAACCCCTTACCCTTTCAGACCATCAGTTCCTGCCTCTGCATTAATGAAGGGTTTGGACCAGATTCTAGAGTTCCATGACTTTCTATTTCTCCCCAGGATGTAAGTATTACCTTCCATAGGCAAAGATAAGGGGAGGGGTAGTGGGGTCATTCTTATCCACTGACCCCTCCCTCTGTCAGCTGCACCAGGAGGCCTCAGGATGGGTCCAAGATGCTCACTTGGACCAGGATGGTGCAAAAACATTTCCTCCTTACAGTATGTTTTCTATACATCTTGGCATCAGAGCCCCCCCCAGTCCACCCCATCCTGAACGATTACTAACCCCAGTTTACAGATGAGGTGGCAGAGGGAGGCTGACAGTCTGCAGGAACTCGGACCCACGTCTGTAGACTCCTGGAACAGATCTTGTTGCACATTGGGAGCAGGCCCCACACCTTCCTGGCTCCCAGGTGACCCGCAGGGGTGGCACAGTTTCGGCCCAGAGACCAGCTGATGCCTAATGGTCCCAGGTGGCTCAGAAGATACTTTGGACATGCATGTAAATGGTCTCTAAGAGCCAGGGGGCAGGAGAACTGGGATGTATTTGCCCCTCCGAGTCCACCCACCTAGAAACCATCACCCACAGGTCCTGACCTCACCCTGTACAAATGTGCCCTCCTGGAGGCACCAACCCCTCCATCCTTCAGGCTCCCCAGCCAGATGCATCATCTCTGTTCTCTACCACTAGGGGGAGCTCCAAGACAGCTGGAGAGAGATGCCCAAGGCTCATGCCTCTACCCTCCCCCTTTAGCCTCAAGGTGGTGGGGATGGGGGTGGGGGCAGCCCTCCTGGGTGGGTCCTCAGTCCTCCTCCACAAAGCAGGCCCTACTGCCCCTCCCCATTCTGCACCCTTCCACCGCCCCCCCCCCCCCCCCGCCCCTTGCCTTTCAATAAACAGCTGGGATGGATACTGACTTTTGCTTCTCTTCTCCCTGACCACCAGGGCCTGGGGAGGGAAGAAAGAAACTGCTATGAGCACCTACTGTGTGCTGGGCACTTAAATCCATTATTTCTCATTTGCACCTCACGATAATCCTTTGAGAAAGTGGATGATTATCTTCATTTTACAGATGAGATAAGAAATTTCTCAGCCATCTTGACAAATTTCTGTCTCCATCCCTGAGAGGGATGTGAGGAGGGGGTTCTGAGGGCCAGAGCTGGAGCCAAAGGTGGGATCTTTTCCAGGAAGATGAGAACGGTTAACCTCCACTAGCACTCACTGGGGGCCAGGCCTTGTTCTCAGGGCCTCACAGACATGAGCTCGGTGAACCTTCACAACCACCTACGTGGGGACTATTTTTCCCAAATCTCACTCCCAGGCTCCAGGCTTGGATTTCCACCTGAATTCACCTACATGTTGAATCTCAACTCAACGCCGAACTGTTCTTTCCACCCCTCCCCTTCCAGACCTGCCCCTCCTATGCTGCCCACTCCTCGGAGAGTGGCAGCTCCGGCCAAAGCCTTGAAGTCATCCTTGACTCCTCTCTTTCCTCACAGCCTGAATCCAAGCCACCAGCCAGTCCTGTCAATTCACCCTTGGAAATGCACCCGGTACCTCAGTGCTTCTCGCCATCCTCAAGGCCAGCTCCCTGGCTCTCATCTGGATTATTGCACAAGCTTCTCCCCGGTCTCCCGGCTTCTTGCTTCTGTGCGCACACATGCACGCACACACACACACGCACACACACACACGCTCTCTAATCTTTACAGAGCAGTCACACAGATCCTGGATGACATAGGTTAGACAGTGCCCCCTCTCTGCTTGGAACCCTCCCGTGGCTCCCACCTTACCCAGAGTAAAAGCCAAAATCCTCCCTGTGGCCTACAAGGCCTGACGTGATCTGCTGACACCCTTCTCCCACTTTCTTCCCCTGTGGCCTCGGCTCCCACCACTCTCCCCGCTCCTGTCTCCTCTCCAGCCAGACCGGCCTCCTGGCTGTTCCTTCAACATCAAGCACAGCTCCTGCCTGAAGCCTTTGCCTAGCCGTTCCCTGCTGGTGTGTTCTTCCTGAGTTCAGCACTTGGTCAATCCCCCCACTTCCTTCAAGTCTTTGTGCAAATGTCACCTTCTCAGTGGGGCCTTCCCTGAGCAGCCTATTTTTGGGGGGCTGTGGGATCTTATTTCCCTGACCAGGGATCGAACTTGGGCTCTCCGCAGTGAGAGCAAGGAGTCCTAACCATTGGACCACCAGGGAATTCCTGCTGAGCAGCCTATCTTAGAAGGTGACTGTGCCCCCATTCCCTGTTCCCTGTGTACTTTGGGTTGGTTTTTTTTTAACTCTTTATTTTATATTGGAGTACAGTTGATTAACAATGTTGTGTTAGTATCAGATGTGCAACAAAGTGATTCAGTTATACATATACATGTATCTATTCTTTTTCAAATTCTTTTCCCAGTTAGGTTGTTACAGAATATTGAGCAGAGTTCCTTGTGCTATACAGTAGGTCCTTGTTGGTTTTCCACTTTAAATCTAGTAGTGTGTACATGTCAATCCCAAACTCCCTAACTCTCCCTCCCCCCCACCCTTCCCTCGGTAAATATAAGTTCCTTCTCTAAGTCTGTGAGTCTGTTCCTGCTTTGTAAATAAGTTCATTTGTATCAATGTTTTTTAGATTCCGCATATAAGCAATATCGCATTTCTCTTGCTCTGTCTGACTAACTTCACTCAGTATGACAATCTCTAGGTCCATCCATGTTGCTGCAAATGGCATTATTTCATTCTTTTTAATGGCTGAGTAATATTCTACTTTGGTTTTTTGCTTTCCTATAGCATTTACCACTTTTCAAATACCAGATAATTTACTTATGTGTTATAGCATCATTTGTTACCTGTCTACCCTTGCCACAGTACGTGCTCCACAAGGGCAAGGATCTTTGCTGGCTTTGTTTACTGACATATCCCAAGTGTCTACAACAGTGCCTGCCACATAGTAGATGCTCGATAGAAATGTGTTGAATAAATCAATCCTAATTTTATAGACGAGGACAGTGAGACTTAGAGACATTAAGCCATTTGCCCAAGGTCAACAAGTAAATGCACAGCTGGGATTCAAATGCAGACAGTCGGCTTGAGGAGGCCACAGCTTGGGCCCCTGCACTATGTTGCCCCTTGGTTTGAAGGCCCAGAGCTGGGGTCACAATATTAAGTGCCCACAAATGTATCCAGATGTTCGTCGTTCTGTGGAAATACGAGCATAGTGTTAATAGATTTTTTTTTCAGAGAAGTTAGGAATCCAAAATTTTATATGAGTTGTATCCAATTTTTTTTTTTTTTTTTTTTGCAGTACGCGGGCCTCTCACTGTTGTGGCGTCTTCCGTTGCGGAGCACAGGCTCCGGACGCGCAGGCTCAGCGGCCATGGCTTACGGGCCCAGCCGCTCCGTGGCAATTGGGATCTTCCCGGACTGGGGCAGGAACCCATGTCGCCTGCATCGGCAGGCGGACTCTCAACCACTGCGCCACCAGGGAAGCCCGAGTTGTATCCCTTTTTAAACATTAGTATCTGTTTCAAAATATGACTGAGCACTGCTCACAACAAATATTCCCGGGGACAGCTTCAACCCATGAGCTGCTGTGTGTGACCTCTGACCTAGACGTTCTGGGTTAGCTCTCACAGCTAATCAGAACCAGGGAGAGAATTTCACACTGACAAAATGGCCCAGAAATCGGAGGTAGCTCCACTCCAGAATATCTATGTCACATAAGCTTTCCTTTCCAGCTGCCACATGGGAAGCCAACGCTTGTCTGTAACCCCAATAAATCTCAGGCCTCCCCACAGCCTTGTCCCCATAGAGCATCCCATTTTGGAGAAGCAGAATCCAATAACCAAAATTAATTCCCAATAATGCCAAATGTCACTGCAATCCTTGAAGAGTGTTGAAGAAGGTTCACTCTCATGCCCTGCTAGTGGGGATGTGTACTGAGTTGAATAGTGTTTTCCAAAAGTTCATATCCACCTGGAATCTGCGAATATGACCGTATTTGGAAATAAAGTCTTTGGAGCTATAATAAAGTTAAAATGAGGCCATATTGGATTAGGATGGGCCCTAATCCAATAAACAGTGTCCTAATAAGAAGAGGGAAACTTGGATATGACAGACAGAGGGAAGACAGCCACATGAAGTTGGAAGCAGAGGCTGGAGTGATGCGTCTACAAGCCAAGGAACACCTAGGGTTGCTGGTTAACAGCCAGAAGCTAGAAGAGGCAAGGAAGGATTCTTTCCTCGAGGCCTCAGAGGGAGCACAGCTTGCTGACACCTTGATTTCAGGCTTCTAGCCTCCAGAACTGTGAAACAATAAATTTTTGTTGTTTTAGTTTATGGTACTTTGTACAGCAGCCCTAGGAAACTAATACAGGATGTAAACTGGTACGACGTACAAGAGAGGCAGCTTGGCAGCATCAGAATGGGAAGTACACATGCCCTTTGACCCCTCCCTCTTGTGCAGATAGATCTGTAGGTTCAATTGCACATGTTGGAACACTGCAGCATTGTAACAGAAAACATTTGGAAACAACCCACATGTTTACTGATAGGGGACTAGTCAATCAATCATGGTGGATTTACATACTGGGATACTACGTAAACGAATGAGAAAGCGTTTTATGTACTGACCTGAACTGATCTCCAAGTTAAATTGTTAGGTGAAAAGGTGCAAGGTACACAACATTATGACTTCCTTTAAACCACTTGTGTAAAAAGAAGAACACTTACGGACATTGCTGGTATATGCGTCAGATCTCTCTTGGCTTCGGTTGCCTTTGGGGAGGGCACTGGGGACTGGGTGGATGGGTGTGGGGGTGGGAGGGACCCTTACACCACATGCTCTTTCACCCATTTTGAATTCTGAACGGTGTGAATGTATTACATTTTTTAAAATAACTAATCTTAAAAAATTTTTAAATAATATAATTGATTGAATACCCTTAATAAATAGGGGAGAAGAGACAAATCTCCCTTGCAGAAGAATTTTTAATTAATAAATACGGAAGGATTGAGAGAAAGAGGGAAATCTCCCTAAACACACTACAGTCATCATTGCTGCAGTTGAAACCCACCTATGAATGCTAAAATGAGCGGGTGAAACTTTAAGGTGAAACAGTAGATTTGTGTCATTTCAAAGTATCTCCCCTCCAGATATTTATTAACTTCGGGGGGGGGGGTTAACACATGCCCACAGCTCCTTTGATGTTCCACCCTCCGGGCGGTGAAGCTTAGTTCTCCTCCCCTTGAGCGTGAGCTGGACTTGGCAACTTGCTTTCTGAATGTGGAAAGGGAAGAAGAGTGACTTCACAGTGGAGAAATCTGGCAGGCACTACCTTAAGCAAATGATCAAGTTTCGCGTCTCCAATAACAAGTTTAGTTGATTTTCTGGACCCCTGAAATGATGTGATGAGAAGCACACTTGACCTGCGTGGTGTTCTTCCTCCAAATCCGTAACCTCAGCCTAATCACGGGAAAACCCAAATTGACGGACATTCTACAAAACATGTGACAAGCACTCTTCAAAAGTGTCAAGGTCACAAAAACAAGGAAAGGCCAAGAAACTGTCACCGATTGCAAGAGAGCAAGGAGACATGGCTAAAGTGTATATAGAAACTTTCGGTTCTGTCTTTGCCACTCTTCTTTCTATAAATCTAAAATTATTTTCTTTAAAAAGTTACCAAAATAATACAATTGTTCTGGTCAAGATGGAGTAACAGGAATGAGGTTCACTCTTCCACCTGGAAGAACTAAGGAATGGACCAGGAAACCAATGCAGAGAGGAGCGCTACGATTACCCCAGCTGACCTCACTGAGAGAGTTTCCAGGCCGCAGCATGGATTTCCATTCTCTGTCTCGATAAGTGAAGA